ACGAAACTCATAAGATCCGTACCTCGTGAGAAATACTGTCTTTGGAACATCTTGTTCTCTGACTCGTAGCTGATGATAACCAGACCTCAAATCGATCTTTGAGAAGTAAGTAGCTCCCTTCAACTGATCAAACAGGTCATCAATTCTGGGCAACGGGTACTTGTTGCGAATAGTGACCTTGTTCAGTTCTCTGTAATCAATACAAAGACGAAGAGATCCATCCTTCTTCTTTACAAACAGTACTGGTGCTCCCCATGGTGAAGTACTCCTGCGAATAAATCCCTGGCTGAGCAACTGCTGAATTTGATCTTTCAACTCTCGCATCTCCACTGGTGCCATTCTGTACGGCGCCTTAGCAATAGGCGTAGTGCCTGGAGCTAAATCAATAACGAAGTCTATCTCTCGACTCGGTGGCAAGCCTGGAATTTCCTGGAATACATCCTGGAATTCCTGTTCTACCGGGATGCTGTCAAGAGATACCGCAGTCGCTTCCTGTGAGTCCTCCTCAAGAACGACTAAATAAGTGCTAGGCCCTCTATCAGGTTGTGGTACAACGAGAAGATACATCTCCTGTCCTGGTATAGAAAATACAATAGACTTTTCGTAACAGTTAACCTGAGCATGGTACTGAGATAACCAGTCCATCCCAAGTATAACATCATACGAATGCATATCTAATACTAACAAATTTGCAAGAAATCGAAGCCGGCCCATATCTATAAGGATATCACCGCTACACTCGCGTAAAATTGCGCCAACTCCCAATGGTGTATAAATATTAAGAGGTTGGTCACATAACTGAGTCGTCATACCAGATAAGATAATAAAAGATCTAGACACAAAAGAATATGATGCACCCGTGTCAAACAGTATACGAGCAGTTCTACCATGTATAGAAAACATACCCTCAATAGCCTGAGGAGCCTGCGCATTATATGGCATGAAGTTATAAACTCTGCCATGATGCAACTGCTGTGGAGGTTGTCCCGGAGGAAATGGTGGTGCTGGAAGTGCCGGAACATTTTGAACTTGCCCACGTGGCATCGGTGGGGCCGGTAGAGGTAACGACTGATTAGGTCTCTGCTGCCCATACTGTCCCTGCTTAGCTTTGGGACACATCTTGGCCGGATGCCCAATCTCTCTACAGTGATAACAACGTCCCGTAAAAGGACCTGCCTGCCTCCTCTGTTGACTTCCCGACCACTGTTCCTGTCCGGTCTGAGGTATCCCACCTTGTCTACCCTGATTAGGGACTCCATCCCTCTGCACATCTGGGTTTCCTTTGTTTTTCTTCCAAGGTTGATGTCCTTGAAATCTACCCCGATCATTAGACTTGGTACCACTGTTGCTTCCTTTCTCCACTGTCTGGTAGTCTCGGTTAGCCCGCTTATCTCCCTTGGACTTCCGGTAATCACTCCTCATCTGGCAGTTCTGTAAGGCGGCATTAACCACCTGGATATAAGTAGTATATGCAGGACTACCTATGATCACCACTTTAATCGGCCATATCAACCCTTTCACAAAGCGGTCTTTCTTCTTTTCTTCCGTATTGACCTCCTCTGGTGCAAATAATGACAAATTAATGAACTTCTGTTCATACTCAGCCACAGTCATATCCTCCTGTTGCAGATCCAGAAATTCAGTCTTCATCGCTGATCTTACTGACATAGGAAAATACTTGTCGTCAAAGCGAGTCTGAAATTCAGCATACGTCAATCTGGTCCTCTCATCGACAGTAGTAATAGACTCCTACCACTACAATGCATTGCCTATCAGCATAAACGTAGCTAGCATCTATTTCTGCACTTCGGTACAGATTACCATCCGAAGATGACGCTCGCTCTCCTGTTTCCACTGATATGCTAACAAGACATTTGTGGACCCTGCAAATGTCGGTGGATTCCCTCTGATAAACGAGTGACGAGTTTTATCCCATGACATTGGCTGTGCCACTGGTTCAGGAACAGGTACTATCGGAGGAGGTTGCTGGTTTCGTAGAGCAGATGCTACTCCTGCTGCCACAGACGTGCAATGATATCAACAACTTGAGGGGAAAATTCCTGATTCTCATTTTGAGTTGGGGAAATACTGCGATGCTGGTTTGCATTCCTTGTCCCACGTCGAGACATCCTTCTTTTAAATTCAGAAAAATCTAACGTCAGTACATTATAATGGACCGACTAAAAGAATACAAAGACCCTAATACTTAGGCTCTAATTATCAGAATACACAACGCGGAAGTATAGTAATCACAGATCCCTAAGACACTCGAACCTGGAATGCTCTGATACCAACTGTAACACCCCCACATTTTTCACGCATAAGTTGATCAGGCTCATACACGAAAAACGAGTGATATCAAAAACAATTGGCAATATACAAGCATGGAATACAAAATGATGATAATAAAAGAATTTAGACAGGAAAGGAACACTAAATAATACAACATCCATCCATCCTTTATTTAAATACAGTACTCCATTACAACTTGGAAATCCTATGTCAAGGATCCCTAAATATAAACCTGAGAGTTCAACGTCAAAAGTAAATAAAAACTGAAGCTGAAGTAATACGTAAAACTTCTACCCTGAACTGGATCGTAAGAGTAGATGAGTTCGGATGGTGGTCCCACACTGCTAACCTCAACCTTGGAACGGGTACTGACCGTATCCTGAAATAACAACAATGGTGGGTCAACCCCACGAGCAAGTCCTCTCTACTATGACCCAAATCAGAGAATCAAATAAATTAATCATTATGAATCGGCTGAGTACTATATCTGTATATATCCTACGGGAACTATCCGATGTATAACATGACCTCAACCAGAATAGACGGTGATCACTTAGACTCACACTAGGTGGTCAAGTGTCGCCTTTCCCTACCCGGGAAATCAGCTATTATACATGGTGCACGGTACTGACAACACAGACTATAACGAACTACACAGTGATAACACCTCTCAAAGTACTGATGAATATACTGAGCATATCAATTAGGCAACACATGCCAACAATATTAATAAATATACCGAGTATGTCAATTAGGCAACACATGCCAATAATATTAAACCACATACCCCGACAGCCACACATCTGTCTATCGCAACGAATGCATAAGGTATAAATGAGTCTAAACTTATTAGCCAGCTCACATGGTTTTATATGGCAACTCATCCATATAATATAAATGTGACATAATTAAACAGTCCATTTATTTCCTGAAATGCACACAGCATAATAATCATGGTTTATATACGATTAACAGTATAAATATTCCATAATATATAATGGGTTATTTATATGAATAAAACCAAGCACTAATTAATTTAACATTAATGGTTATTACAGTTTAATAAAATAATACCATTAATAGTCGTTAAATTAATTACATATGTTTACTAGCGATTCGCACTTTAACTGATACAATTAATATTTAGAAATATTAATCGGACAATTATAATAGTTGACGAGAAATAAAATAATAATATAATGTCCCGTTAATTCTAAAAATGCCAACCCGAGGCCCCAAAATGTATAGTGAAGGTCCTGGTAATGACAAAACAGTCCCTAGGGGTATTCTGGACTTTTCCAGCAGCTGCAGAGGCCCTTCACGCGCCCCCACGCGCCTCTCAGAGCTCCCCACACGCGCCGCCAAGCTTTCCCACTCTCCCACGCGCCTCCACGCGCGTCTGGCATCAGCCACGCGCGCGCACGCGCTCCCACGCGTGCACTAATGGTACCTTGCTGACGCGGCGGCTCCTGATTCGGTGGTTGCATGGACTTGTTGTGGGTGCGCTACACTGGATAATTCTATCTTAGTTCTTCTAATCCAAGGGTCCTGGTTCGCGCGTGCACCATTTTATGGTGTATTGGACTACACCGAATCAATCTGCTGATTAGTTACTCATCTAACGGCCGGATATCCATGCGCACAGTAACTATAGTGCACCGTATCACACCGGATTACTCCGGTCATCTCCCCCACTGCCGGCGACCGGAAAACTCGCCGGAAGGTCGCCGGAAATTGCAGAAAAGCCCCGGAAAAATCTAGAAAATTCTAGAAAAATCCCTAACGCCTTATTTAATTATTTTCGGCCATTATTAATTTCATAGGATATTAAATAAATATATACCATCCTATATAATTAAAATTTCATTAATTTAATAAAATAACATTAATAATTTATTAACCTCCTAACCTTGGCTCTATGCATAAAAATAAACTAAACAATTAATTTATTAATTCAAAGGGGAAAAGTAGATAATAACTTACCTTTTTGGATTTAAAATAAATCCGCCGGTTGCGCGTAATCGGGTAAATTCCCTACACCGGTCCAAGCTATTTTCTTTCTCTCTCTTCCTTTCCACACTTTTACAATGGCTCACTAGAATTTATAATTTGTGTTTAACTCCCTTTCTTTCCTTCTAAGGTAGGCTAGCTAATTTATATACAAATTATATAATATAAATATTACAAATATCTATTTTTGTATTTAATTAACCACATTCCCAACCATATGGCTTTAAGTCTACCCATACACATTAATGAAATTCTATCCTAATCTCTAATTTCATCATGACATTGATTTTAATACTATTATTATTATTATAACTATTATTATTATTATTACTAATATTATTATTAATAAACTTTTATAATTATTATTATATTATTATTATTATTATTATTATTAAACTAATATAATTATTATTATTATTATTACAAAATAATACATTATATCATCATAATACTTTATAACACAAATATAATACTTTTAATTAACTAATAATGATTAATATAAGCATAACCAACAAATAAAATTATTAATAATAATACATGCATAATTAAATGAATAAATTTACTATTTTAACATACACAATTAATTTACATGCACATTTAAATGAACTTAATATAATAATGTAGCATGCACAATAATAAGTAAAGAAATCCTCACATAATTGAATTTTTTAAATAAACTAAACTCTTTAATAAAATACGGGGTATTACAATATCCATATCTGCGAATTAGCCATCTCATTTTAATCCCAGCTTGGTGAGCCCCACAGCTGCCCTCATGTACCTCGGCCATAACCTGAAGTAATTCCTCCTTGCTTATGCATTGTAGTAAGAGCCCATCTTCTAACCCTTTTCTGTATAGATCCCCATCTAGAAGCACAAAGTTGATCGCTTTTCTTTTAATACTTCTATCAGCCTTGATGTTTGGATTTCGAAGGAACATTATAAATGGTATCCTCCAGTCATCGTCGGCCAAATCTTCTACATCAATTGTCCAAGTATCAAACATAGTATTTCTCAATTCGGCCGATGGCAAAGATCTTCGTGTTATCTTTATCAACTGATCTTCTATTCCGGCTGGTACTCTTATTCCAGAGGCTGCTTGAGCCATGCTGTTGGCCTCCTTATTCTGCCCTCTCGACCAGAACTTAAGTTGAACATTATCAAATTGATTAATTAATGAAGTGGCCAGAGAATGAAACGGCCTTAATTGCCAACTTAGGCACTTAAAATCTTCAGAAATTTGGCTAAGGACTAAGTTTGAATCTCCCAAAATCTTTACATCTCTAACAGCCATTTCAATTAAAATCTCCAGGCCGATTATAAGTGCTTCATATTCGGCCTGGTTATTTGAACATTTAAAATCTAAAAAGAAAGAGAATGAAGCCTTTCTGCCAGCTGGCGAAATAATAACAATACCTGCTCCTGCTCCATCAGCCGTGCTTGATCCATCAAACATCAAGATCCAAGGAGTCAGGAATATAGCTGATGACTCCAATTCATCATAAACCCATGGATCAATATCAGTTGAAGGATGATCGGCCAAAAAATCAACCAGAACCCTTCCTTTTACTGATTTTTGTGAGACGTAGATAAAATTGAATTCCATCAAAGCCAAAGCCCACTTACCTATTCGGCCAGTGATCAATGGCCTTGATAGCATATACTTGATTACGTTAGTCTGACAAAGAATGTAAACATCAACAGGCCGCATGTATACTCTCAACTTCATGGCCGAATAGTACAAAGATAAACAAAGTTTCTCAATTGAGGAATATCTGCATTCTACATCAGTCAGTATTCTATTCAGGTAGTAGACAGCCTGCTCCTTTCCATGTTCATTGTCTTGTGCGAGCATACTACCAATTGATTCTTCTGCTACCGATAAATAAAGCTTTAACGGCCACTTCTTTCTTGGAGGCATTACAACCGGGGGGTTTGCCAAATACTCTTTTATTTTGTCAAAGGCGTTCTGATGGGATTCGTCCCAATGAAATTTCTCATGTGACTTTAATTTCACTAAAGTCGAAAAGACATGCACTCGGCTAGCATGGTTAGAAATAAATCTTCTAAGAAAACCTACCTGGCCGAGGAACCTTTGCACTTGTTTTTTGTTCGCTGGGGCCCTAGCATTTATAATAGCTTTGACCTTGTTCTGATCAACTTCAATACCTCGTTTATGTACCAAGAACCCCAAGAAATTCCCGGCTGAAACTCCAAATGCACACTTCAATGGGTTCATTTTCAATTTGTGAATCCTCATCCTTTCAAAGGCCCTTTTCAAGTGTTACAAATGCTGTCTCTTGGCCGATGATTTCACAACCACATCATCTATATAAATTTCCATGAATCGGCCAATCATATCATGAAAGATAGAATTCATTGCCCTTTGATAAGTAGCCCCGGCATTTTTCAGGCCAAATGGCATCACAATCCACTCAAAAGTACCAATTGACCCAGGACATCTAAAAGCCGTTTTATGAACATCCTCCTCGGCTAAATAGATTTGATTATAACCTGAATGGCCGTCCATAAAAGACAATATTTCATGCTTAGCGGCCGAATCAATAAGTTGATCGGCCACAGGCATTGGATATTCATCTTTTGGAGTGGCATTATTTAAATTGCGAAAATCCACATAAACTCTAAGTTTGCCATTCTTCTTCATTACCGGAACAACATTAGACAACCATTCAACATACCTAACTGTTCGAATAAATCCTACCTTAAGAAGTTTTTCAATTTCTTCTTTAATTTTGAGCATTACTTCCGAAGACATCCTTCTTGGTGGTTGTTTATATGGCTGAAAATCTTTCTTGATCGGTAATCTATGTTCTACCAATTTTCTAGACAGGCCAGGCATCTCTTCATAACTCCAAGCAAAGCAATCCTTATATTCATTTAATAATTTAATCAAATCGGCCTGGAATTTAGGCTCAAGCAAAGCACTAACAAATAATGGCCGATTATCTTTTTTAGTACCAACATTTATTTCCAATAAAGGATCTTGCACCTCTGCTTTATTATCTTCCATCCTGGAAGGGGCTGACTCCAAATCTTCAAGTTGGATTGCATCCAGCTTTTCGAAACCTTCTTCAATTATATCGGTCGTGCTGGCCGATACCTCTTCATATAGTTGTTCTTCTCTGGCCAGTCTCTTCTCAGCCAGATATGCTTTCAGTCTGATGCAAGCGGCCCTGAAAGCTTGCCGCTTCTATTCTTCATTGGTTTTGTGATTCATCAGTAACATCTTCAATGTCCTTGATGGTCGACCTGAAAATATCAATTTTCGGCCGAGCTGCTTCTGACAATAATTCTTTAATATCAGCATTAATTAAATTCTTCTTCATTGTTGCCGCTGCTGGTCGTCCCATCCTGTTAATGCCAACAAATTTGATAGGTACAACAGTTTCATCATAAAGTGCAGCCTCAGCCGAATACACCCTAGCTATAAAGGGTTTGTTATCGGCCTCAACAATTTTTACCTCATTTCCATCCCAAAAAATCAACATTTGATGCAAGGTTGATGGGATGCACATGTTAGAATGAATCCAATCTTGGCCTAAAAGGAGATTATAGGCCGCGGTTGAATCAATGATAAAGAAAGTCGTAAAGGATGTCTTACCGCCAATAGTAATTTCCAAAGGTAGAATACCTTTGGTGTTACTAGATCCTCCATTAAAACCACTGATGGCCACGTCGGTTGGAACTGCATCATCCATGGTTTTACCCAATTTCTTCAAAGTAGTTGATGGAATGACATTCACCACCGAACCATTGTCAACCAAAACCCTATTGATTGGCTGACCCTCAACCCATACTTTAACATACAACGGCCTCAACTGCTGTGTCATGGACAAAGGTGGTTTTTCTAAAATGATTTTATCGGCCTTAGATGGCTGATCCTGAGAGATCAATCCTATCCCGGCCGATGAACTTGTCGAATCGTTCTTCATTTCTGAAGATTCAGCCTTTTCCTCCTGCTTGGCTGACTCAACATCCCTGTTCACCGTTGGTTCTATCCTTGCTTCAAACACAGAAGGCAAAACAAATACCATGTTACAATTTACCTTATCCGGGAGAGAACCAAAACGAATTCTGTACTTGGCCGCATGCTTTGGATCCTGGTCGGGCTGATCATCTTTTTCTTCATAAAAGCATGCCTTATTCTCAAATGATGTAGCGACCTCCATGTCTTCAGCCACCACTGGTTCATTTTTTCTTTCTAGTTGATCATGGTCGATCTTGTCTTCTTTCCTTTTGAGTTCTGCATTTTTCCTTTGCATCCTCCTTTTTTGGGTACGTGTAGGAGGCTGCTTAGGAAACTTTGGGTAACTTACTCGAGTCCATCTGCCATGGTCAACCAGAGGAGGTCTAACCGTTCTTACACGGCTAGATTCTTCTCCTTTTTGAACCCATATTTTTGACTGAATTGTTGGTTTCCTTTTGAAACTAGGATAAAAATGTTGTTCTGTCAGGACTCTATCGGCCAACGATGACCGAATGATTCTCACTACCCTCGGCCCATTTTCTCTAAATATTGATCGATTGATTTCTTCGTGATTCTGTCTAGGCTGATGGCCTAACCTTTCATGGACACTATGCTTTCTGGTTGATTGGAAATAGCCCCTCTTGTCTGAGTCATTCCTTCGGCCTTTGCAATTTGGACAACAACCATGGTTGATGAGGGCAATTTGAGCTTCTCTTAACTGAATTTCCAAGTCCTTAACTTTCTGCTCATCATTACTGGCCGATGAACTACCAAGAACTTTTGGTAATCTTTCCTGTCTACCATTATCAGCGGCTTTTTCAGTTGCCAGGCTGATTACATTGGTACTGACAATATTAGGAAATGGATCGCCATCGACCCCCATTACATCTGGCTTCTTTTCAGGGAATTTCAATACACCTTCATCAATAGATTTCTGCAATTCATTTCTAAATACATAACAATTGTTAGTAGTATGATTCCATGAATTATGAAATTTGCAGAACTCTCTTCCTTTTAAATCATTGGTAGATGGTATATTGTGTCCTTTTGACAAAATGATTTGTTTGTCGGCCAACAAATGATCAAAAATTTGTTCTGTTTTGGCCAGATCAAACGTATAAACCTTACCAGTATCAGCCGTACCCTTCCTGGCCGATGAAGTCGATGGCTGAGTACCACTGGTGGATACATTTGGTTTTGTTAAAGCGTCACATACATAAGGTTTCTTTAGAATGACTTCGGCTAAATTAGCTTCAAAATCTTCCTCTTCAACCACATCAGTTGAATAAACTTCATAGTTGGGGTCCCTATAGTACGTACCTTTAGAGGAATTTTTTCGTTCTTTCTCCTCTTTGAGAACCAACTCATACCTGGTAGCTTTCTCGGCCAGGTCATACATGTCACGAAATGGAACTCTTTCAAACCTCTTCCGAAGTTCAAAATCAAGGCCGTTCAAAGCCAAACGAATGTACTCCTGTTCTGGAAGAGGTACACGGCATCTTAATCTTGCTCTCCTGAATCTTGCAATGAATGTCTCGACCGATTCACTAGGCAATTGACTTAGCCTGGATAAATCGGCCAGAGTAGGTTCTGTCTCCGTACGGTAGAACTGATTGTGGAATAATTCCTCCATCTGTGGCCAATTAAAAACAGAGTTAGGAGGTAGACGAATATACCATGAAAAAGCTGCCCCTGTCAAAGAGTTAGGAAAAAGTCTCAATTTCAACCACGGGCTAACACTGGCCTCTCCACATTGAACCGTGAATCGGCCAATGTGTTCCACGGTCGATTGATTCCCCTCTCCACTAAAGGTTACAAAATCAGGGACTTTATATCCTCTAGGGAACTCAACTTGGTCTACCACTTCTGGATAAGGAGTTCTATAAATTGGTCGGCCGGCACCTCTAAGTTCCAGGCCATATTCTTCTGTGAGTAAATCAGCTAATTGTCTTCTGTCTAACATGACTTGAGGTGGCTGATTTAATATTGGTGCTACCTGATTAAAAACTGACGGCTGATTAGCCGTTGGTTGATAGCAATTCAGCCAATCATGTGGCTGATTAGCCATATTCTGCCCCCCGAGCCCTACCTGTGGCGGCACATGAGTATACAGTGGGTTCGGTGGCCTCCACCTGATCTGATTGCCCCCCGAGTTCAAAGGCATCCGAGGAGGGTTTGGTAGAATTACCTGTGGCTGCGAACCTACTACTGGTGGCTGATTAGAACCTGCCAACGTAGGCTGAGGATAGCTTTCTGCCCAGGTGAATAGCGTATGAACCGGCTGACTTGATGTTGCACCTGGTTGGAGTGTCACTACTGGCGGCCATGGCTGTGATGTTTCAATGGCCCTCTCTGGCCGAGCAGCTTGTGATAGATTCGGCTGAGAAGCCGATTCCTGATTGTTGGAGCTGCTAGCTTGAGTCGGCTTGTTCAAAATAAAAGCTGAGAGTTGGGACATATTTTCATGCAAGTCATTGTAGCGTGCTCCCATCCTTCCCATTGCATCTACCAAGGAGCTAACCTGTGCTTGAAGTACGGCTAACTCATCAGTAGGACTTGCTGTAGAGTTCTCAGCCTGTACTGGCTGATCGCCTTCCTCTAAATCTTCATCAGTAGCCACGGCCTTAGAATTTTTTTGTGGGCCGCGGCATATTTACCTCTTTTATAACACTCTAGTAGTGTCCCACCGGGCGTGCCAAAACGTGTTCGCGCGGTTTTTGTTCCCTACGCCGGTCGATGGACTCTTCGCGGGCGTGCCAGAGTATTTGTACAAAATACCCAAAATATGTAATTGAACACCAGCCTATCCCTTTTTCCGATGGCTGACTCTCAGGCGATTGTGTGGGAGAGAGACTAGTAAGAACTCCCAGCAAGGTTCTTTTATGCCTTGTTTGTAGCAAGGACTTTTTAGAGTGTCTAAAGAAATGTAACGGCTGATGAATGTTTGAATGGATGGAATGGCCGAGTGAAGGCAGGCGGCAAGAACTTAATCGATCGCCGGCCGAACGTGATGGCGAGAACTTAATCAATCGCCATCAGCCAAACACAATGGCAAGAATTTAATCGATCGCCACTGAAACGTGATAGCAAGAATTTAATCAATTGCCATCAGCCAAGTAATGACAAGAATTTAATCAATTGTCACTACGATTCAATGGCAAGAATTTAATCAATTGCCATTGAATTGAAAGCCTAACTAAAATTGCGTAATTAAAATTGGCATAATTGAAATTGAAAGAAAGTAAATGGCT